ATATATCATATCCTGTGGTGCATTGTTTAAATATGTGAATGCAATGCTGTTCTTTTTTTTCTTTTATTTCTCTTTTTCTTTTTGTTGTTGTTGCTTTATATTTCTAAATCCTTATAAAATTTATGAGGTAATTAGATGCAATATTGTAATGAACGCTGAAAATTCCATACCTGTACCACAAATACTGTTTGGAATAAAGCCATTATTATTATTATTATTATTATACCTATGCGTGTAAATAACCGGTGAGGTAATTCCACATAATGAGTGATAAAAGTCTCATTGTCCTTATAAAACTGTTGTTCAACTCTGAGTAGATTACTAAGGTTTCAAGAGTTGTGTTTGAAATCAGAAGACATTGCGAAATGGTCGCGCTATGTCGTGAATTGGCAGAAGTTAGAATTCAAGGACCATTGGATCGGGTCCCAGTGGCTTAATGATCTACGAGCACTCTGGCCTTTTAACCAGAAGGTCCTGAGTTCGAATCCCGGTGGGTGCGTACTGCTGAAGAGTCCCAAACTAGGATGGGACAGCTGTCCAGTACTCCCAGGTTTTCCAATGGTTCTCTAACTGATGTCAGCTCATGATGAAATCCTCCATGAAATCAGAATATTAAAAATAAGAGTAATGTACATAACCCTTCTTTCTTCAGACCAATTTACTACTGAGTTTTAGTAGACAAAAAAAGCAACCTTGCAATCATTGTTTAACTTAACTTCTGCCATCTAAGACTTTTCTTCTCCATTTTTAATATTTCAGGGTTTATTCCATCCAGCTAGAAAGGTAAGGGATATGATGTGGAAAGTGTATAATACAATTTACATTGGTAATCAAGATGGTTTAGTCTACGGATTCCCTCGCATCGCTGATGAAGAAAATCACACATATATCCGGCATGAATTATCTTATATTTTGTGAAAATGTTTTTATCAGTACCCTCTTCCTTCAGTGCATTCTTACTTATTTTTACTCTTATTCTCTTGTGTTTTGTTACTATTCTACCTACAATGAGTTTCCGTGATCCATTCTCTGGATTTACTTTCTTCCCTGTTAAACACACATACACACAGCATTGTGGTCTTGTAATTAAATTATTTTTCCCCTGATTAATATAGATCAGTTGAATTGACTGACGTCTTTTCTTATCGTCATATGATGGAGTTTTTTTTGTTTTGTTTACCGCATGTTTGCGACAATGGTTTTTACTAGGAATCAGTGGTGTGTAGATTAAAGTGTTTATAACGTATTGTTGTATTCCATAGTTAAGGTGTAACAATCAACACAAGTACTACCACTTCTACTTCAGTTACATAAATCGATTATATGAGGTTAATTCTAAATGCGTATATAATTGTTTCACTTAAGAAATCGTTTAAAAAAACATTTTCTCACCAGCATTAGTAGGTCAAAGTATGAGTTGACAGACGAATTTTAATAAGGTTTAAGCATCTATAGAGACGAATTATCGACATTTTAACCCCTAGGTGTCTTGGGAATTACGTTCGTGGTGGGATTTGTCATAATATTTGTGAAATTGCTGATTAATCAATAAAAGTGACTAATAAACCCCGGGTTTAAAATGGAAAATGAAGATCTCCCCTTAGCATATTGTTCTTTACACAATATGAAATCTAGCACAGGACAGTACTATGTGGAAAATTAAGGAGAAACTATATAAATTATTGTATTTCAATGTTATGCGGGGTCGGGTCTGCATTAAGAAGAACATCTTTCATATATATAGGGAAGTATTGCGAAGCCTACTAAACGGAACAGTGGCCAGTTGTTGCGCAATCTCACCAAGTTACCTCTGAAGTAAAATGTTATGCTGGTGAAAATGAATTGCTTACGACAGTAATGCTGACTCAAAGGCATTTTTCCACACCTAACCCTTTAAGGCATAATTCAAGCGAATTTTGGGTACCACCACGTTGTTGCATACCGAAGCGTAAATATTAAATTAGATTGCAGTAAACTATTAACTAGGAAATGGAGAGGTGTGTTCAGTGGACGCATTACTTCACTGCACTTAGATTAAAAAGACATTTGAGTCGTCTCTTTGACAGAAATTATGAATTAGATTGCCACAAAAACACCTAATGTTTCTTCTAATAAACTAGAAACCATTCAGAGTGGGGTGGATTCATTCGTATAATGTCTGTCAACTGTAAAAAGACTAGACAAAAAGCCGTAGAGAACATCAGATCTTCATAATTCAGTAAATGTTCCTAAGTATTTCGCTGACTGATTGATTTGCATAAAAGTACCTTGGTACAAGCGAAAAATAAGGGGTGAGACAAAATGGCACTACACTGGAAAAATGTGGATAGCATAGGCAGAAGAAAAGTAATGAGGGTTAGGAAGATAAGAGAGTACTAGGTACCACTATGTCATGTTGACGAATGATATTTATCCATCTAACCAAGGATCCTCAAACACTGAATTTCAGAAGCCTAGCCAAGTAATCTACACCTCCCTCCTTATATGTCTGGAGCCAACATTCAATCACATTATGCATTGGTGTTACTTCTGGCCCGCTCAACTCATTTTTGACATAGTTCTGCACTATACAATACTACTGGTCTAGAAAGACAATTGTTCGCACGTATAACATGTCCGAGCCACCTTGATCGTTTCAGTTTCGTGTCACTACGTCGTATCTCATCATTGCGTTTCGTACTGTTCAAGCTAAATCGAACAAGTGAACAAAATCACCTACGGTAAAGGGTCTCTAGTTTTTCAATTTTTTTTACCTTTGGTGGTGTTCATAGTTGAAAAAGTGATATTAGGAAATACACATTTCATTTTACGGACAGCCAAGACGATAAAATTTGGCAAATGCTAAGTGAATCTTTTGTGTGCATATTAAGATTTCAACACCAACTAATTCATTTGGACCGATGCTATTCACCAAATAAGTGATCTATGTAAAGTATTCGACCACTTTACATCCTATACACTTGAAGAGACGTCTGCGTTGTCAGTCCTGTTGCATTATCTTAAGTTAAACCATGAAGCGTATGCCGAACACTCACTTTACCCCAGTGTGTCTTTGGCATCTACACCTGAAGTGAATATATCGTCTATATACCCTAAATCGATGGGATTTTTACCCGGTTGTAAGTCTTATTCGTGAAAGGTTGAAATCAAGTGCTTCTACACCTAAGAAAAGCGTCATTAAATTCTGATCTCTGTCATTTCAAAACTATACTCGGAGTTTCCTATTACTTGATTCACTTTCGTACAGTGATTAGTGAAGTCGTTTCTTTCCTGTCACATCGTTTATTTACACAAACCGTCAACATATTACTCGTCACTGAAGCCCTACTCTTCTCTAGCTGCATAATTATAATAGTGACCTTTTGGTGTTCATTACAAACGAGTTCTTATTTATAATACTGAAATTGTTACTTAAAAATTAAGGATGATGATTTTGTATCTGTCTACTTCTCCAAACTCCATACCTTCACAATGTGAAGGCATTCTTACCGGCGTCCAACAACAATTATATTTCTTGACCTAAAGGTGGCATTCGATTCTGTCGACCGAGAGGTACTCTGGCGATGCTTTGCTGTGAAGGGAATGCCGAGAAAATACATTGCACTGATCAAGGCACTCTACTCGAATTCATACAGCCAGGTGAGAGCTTACGGCGAGTTGTCATCTGAAGTGGTGATGACTAGTGGTGTCCGTTAGGGATGCCCATTTCTTTTCAATTTCATCATAGATGTACTAATGGATTTAACTCTAACTCACTTCAGAGACTCAGGATTGAATTGCCACCAGGGAATAATCTCCTTGACTTAGAAATATGCTGATGATAAAGTCCTTTCTAGGTGAGGACGCTGACAAAATGCGGAGTCTTCTGAACACCTTGAGCTGAAATCTACGAATGTTTGGCATGCGATTCACCCCTGTAAAATGTAAGATGATGTTATAGGACTGGACTACACTGACTCCTAGTTTAGAAATAGGGAGTGAAGTGGTAGAGCACGTTGATCGCTTCACTTATTTGGGAAGTTGCATCAACCAACGCCAGCGGGTTGGTCGCTGACGAAATCTCAGCACGGATATAGAGGGCTACTTTTACATATGCCAGTTTATGCCGTCTCTGGCGTAGACGTGATATCCGGTTGGCTATTGATCAAATGGCGTGTGTACTGCTCAGCAGTTCGCTCCGTCCTCCTATGTAGCTGTGAGACATAGTCATTGAAAGTAGAAGGTACGAAAAGGCTAACTGTTTTTGATCATAGGTGTCTGCGTTCTATCTTCCATGTGAAGTGGTATAATAGGGTGAGCAATAATTGAGGTTAGGCGTCGAGTGCTAGGTAAGGAGGGTTAGGACATGTGTTACATATGCCTAGTCATCGCCTTCCTCGATGGGCAATGTTAGCTGACATAGGGTCAGGCTGGAAAAAAGCCAGCGGCGGTCAAACCAAAATATGGCACCAGTCATTGAAATCTACAACAGTTAGTTTAAGCCACGTAGGGGTAGTGAGGTGTAGATTTCTTGGTTGGGGTCCTTGGGACGGTAAAAACCAATGGCTGGAAACAATTGGTGATATGGCTTAAAATCGTTCTCAATGGCTGGCGCAGATGCATCCACTCCTTGTGATTTATGATTTCAAATCAAACTATTTCGTTATTACTATTCCTTTGTCTCACCATAAGAGAAAGCGATTTGCTTGCATTTCCCTACTAGACTGAAATCAGTTGTCGAAGTCTTCCTCTAAATAAGCGCCGTATCTCGTTTCAAATTTTAAAGTATTATACAATTATTTCTGATTTTGAGAGGAGTAGCCCATCCCATTATCATCTATATTCAATAGTCTGTAAGCTTTAAATCTATTTATATTAGGAAATGAAATGGCACAATCAGTAAAATGGATCCTCAGACTTTTTGGAGTAGACATAGACGGAATGCGAAATGTCTACATTGATGAAGGCAGCGTATTTTGTGGTTTTTGTACCTGTAACCTAGACAAAGCAAATCAATAATTCTCTATGGATACAACGTTTCTTTAAATATATGCAATAATACACTTACTAGCCTCATATATTAATTAGTAAATCATTCAAATCTATTTTACAACATGTAACTTCAAAACCACCCTGTTGACTATCAATACAATTGCATAATACATATCATAGGCTAAATATCCCATTAGACAGTTGAAGTACATGTATGATAAAGTTTATTTCTTTGCACTGAACTTGTCTTCTTCATTGGTGCATATTTAACTGTTCCAAGCAAATTCTCATTGGATCTCTTGGATTTATGCATAGTTTTTAATTTCATATCATAATACCAATAGTTTGATATTGGAAAGTCTATATTATCATGTAAAATTTGATGAGTAGTGTAATTCTTACGTTTTACCTTCTTTCTTTTACTATTAACTTTGATGTCATTAGCATAGCCTGATATTGTATCACGTTGACTGTTTGTTTTGTGTGAAAACACTAAGGACATTGAGGGTGATAGTGACGAGTGAACTAACTTTTCTGGCTTTTGTGTTTCCAGCTTCTGTTTCGGTTTAATCCTTTTATGCTTGGATTCCTCGCTCATATTATATTGATCATTGATGTTAACTCTTAACACATTCGACTTTGAATGACAATAACTATTTGTAACGTTAAAATTTACACCTTTATTATCATCATCCGCATTACTAGGCATAAGATTATGCATTTTATTATATTCTAAATTCATATTTTCCAATACTGCTTCATTTCCTAATATCCATGATATATATTCGCCTAAAGATGCTATTTGACCTTGAACTGTTGTTGTTTGAATAAATGGATTGAATAATACATAACCTTCATCGTCATTTTCATTGTTATTATTATCATCACTATCATTGAAACATTCATTATTAAATGCAGTTATACTTGTCTCTGGATAATGCATACATCTTATTAAAGTTGATTTAATTTGTTTTAATACTTCTTTTTTATTGATCATTGAATTTTCTTTTTTCATTTTGTTTTTTTCAAATTGATATGATTATTTCATTTGACTCATTAGACTCATCTGTTTGGTATCGTTGTTATTTCAACTATGATTTCACCTTATATTCTAATTAGTGTGTATTCTTAATTCACTGTCTTCACACACGTACATATATATATTTATATTATCACACTTTATCATAAATTATATATATACAGAAAATTTTCTTTTAATGTAGAATACAACTTTCTTCTATTTCTTTTTTTTTTATCAATACTTATTGATTGTATTTAAGTCAAGATATGATTGTTCCAGCCTTTCTACGTACCATAAATATTATTTTTCTCTGAAAATTCAAGTTTCAGTTGATGTAAACACGTTGACATGTTGTATTAACCAGGCGCTGACGAAAGCCTTCATATGCACATATATACATTTATCGATCAATTCTCTTTGATTTCTATAAATCACGTGATATGACTAAAATGTAATATTAATTAGTCCATTCTAAATATAGAAAGTTATAAGTAGTATATGTGTTTTATTCTAACTGTAAAGTTTTAAAAAAATATGCATAAAATGTTTTATATGATAAATAATCTTATTCACAATCCTAGAAGTTATTTTTTGAGTTTAATTAAATTGATGACAATGAAATATGTGGAAGTTATGATTTAAGTATTGATGTAGTTGTGTTCTCTAAGCTGAGATGATTTATTTGCGTAGGTTTCATTATCATACTCGACAACCTCTCTTTATTTCAGACTGCGTTGACTCCTAATTTAGAAATAGGGAGTGAAATGGTAGAGCGTGTTTACCACTTCACTTATTTGGGAAGTTGCATCAACCAACGCCAGCGGGTTGGTTGCTGATGAAATCTCAGCAGGGGTACAGAAGGCTCGTTTGGCATATGCCAGTTTACGCCGTCTCTGGCATAGATGTGATATCCAGCTATCGACCAAAGGACGTGTGTAATGTTCGGCAGTTCACTCTGTCCTCCTTTACGGCTGTGAGCAAGATATGGCCATTGAAAGCGGGAGACATGAAGAGCCTGGCTCGCTATCTTTGATCATAGGTGTCTGCTTCCTATCTCCAGTATTAAGTGATATAACAAGGTGAGTAGTATCGAGGTAAGACATCGGTTGAGTGCCAGGTAGGTGGGATGGGAAATCAATCGACGAAGTTGTGAAGTTACATCGACTGAGATGGTTAGGACATGTGTTACGCATGCCTAGTCTAGCTATCGCCATCCTCGATGGGCAATTTTAGCTGACAACTGTTAGTTTAAGTCACGTAGGAAGGTGTAAACTTCCTGGTTGGGTCCTCGAGATGGTAAAAACCAGTGGTCCTGGAGACAACTAGTGATATTGCTCAAAATCGTTCTCAATGGCTGGCGCAGACGCATCCACTCCTTGTGACTTATAATATCCAATAAAACTATATTTGTTCTTCGATATTACTATTCTATTTGTTTCATATCTCCGTTTACTCTCTCTTTACTCTCTTCTCTTGCTTTGTGTGGTACTTGGAGGGAGTGTGGCGTTGAAGCCAGTCAGTTTCAGACTTTAAAAGGAATTGAGTTGCTTCTGAATTCTCTGTGAATGATATAACTATGCGCTGAAGATATTGCTTAGAATGATAGTGAAAGCTTCATAAATATAAACCCTCCAGTCCAGATAACACTACTCTACTAATAACAAAGTCATCCACCTGAGATACAAATCATCTCCGTCGTTTCTATATCATGATTTGGATGTTGTTGTTTTTTTGTATGACATTGTAGTGATTTTTACGAGTTGATCACGGATTGATATCAGTTAGAGAACCATTGAAAACCAGCAAGGAGTACTGGACAGCCAGTTGTTCCGTCCTAGTTTGGGAATCATTGGCAGCACGCACCCACCACAGCGGTTCGAACCCAGGACCTTCCGGTTACAAGGCAACCTCGTATACCATTCAGCCACTGGGACCCAATTTAATGGCTCATGAATTCTAACTTATACCAATTCGTGATTTAGCGCAACCCCAACCATTGTCGTTGGTGGGACATCCATCCACACACGTGACATCTAATTGGACCTCACTGGTCACGACTTCTCACTAGAACTCCAGGAAACTTCATCCTGTAGCAAGTCACTAGCGAGCATCAGATTAATTTTCTATACATGAATAATTCCCATTCGGACATTAGTAGACAAAAGACAAGTACTTGTCTTTTGTCTACTAATTTTCTATAGTTTGGTTTGTAAAGGTTAGTTATGTTTTTACGAGTTGAAGTTAGAATTCATGAGCCATTGAACTGGGTCCCAGTGGCTGAATGGTATACGAGGTTGCCTTGTAACCGGAAGGTCCTGGGTTCGAACCGCTGTGGTGGGTGCGTGCTGCCAATGATTCCCAAACTAGGACGGAACAACTGGCTGTCCAGTACTCTTTGGTTTTCAATGGTTCTCTAACTGATATTAATCCGTGATCAACTCGTAAGAACATAACTAACCCTTACAAACCAAACTATCGAGAATTGTAGAGATTGCAAAGAAGAGAGATTAATGTGTTGTACTTTTTTTTAATTATCAAATTTACATACGAGGTTATTGCATCACATAGAAAATCTTGATGCACTTAATCTAAATCATCCATAGCAAAATCTTTATTAATGTCTGGTCAAAAAATGAATATTGATGGGCTGTCAACTAACTGGTCACGAGTTTGATAACGTTTTTGACCCAACGATATCTGAGCAGCCAAGCAGTATAACCAATCGATCCAAAACTAGTAAAATAAATTATGTGACAACTACTCTGTGGTATTTATTGCACAAAATGTCAATGTTCAGGTTGGATGGAACTCATGGAATTATGTCTTACAGGACTCATTGCAGCACTCCCACCTTAAGGAAAATCGAAGAAAGATATCTCATGGACGTCTTCCAAAAGAATGGATATCAACGGAATTTCATCAAAAGACATATACCCCCAAGCCAACCTATCAATCCAAAAGCCCCCAAGGAAAGCACAAAGAAAATCGCCTTACCATATATATAAAGGATATCTCAGAAATCACTGCAAGACTCTTCAAACCTTTAGGAATTGACGTCTCACACAAATCAACAAAGTCACTTCACTCAATTCTGTGTCAACCAAAAGACTCAACAGCGAAAGAAGATAAAACCAACGTCATCTACAAAATAGATTGTATCAACTGCGAAAAACACTACACTGGCCAAGGTGGACGTCCTCTTTGTCTTCGCATCCACGAACATATGTTAGCTGTCAAAAGACATGATATCCACTCCCTCATTTCACTACATACAAATAACAATAGACATCAATTCTACTGGGACAACGTTCGAATATTAGACAGAGGAAACAACAAGAATGCTAGAGAATTTTTAGAAGCCTGGCATTCCAGTGAATCATCAATCAATAGACACATCGAGATAGACAAAATTTACCAATCGATGAGAAGGGAACTTCACACACAAAGTTCAAGTCAAAGAAACAGTGAGTTACAATACAAATAACCTACAAAAACAACCAATCACGTCCAAGGTCACCAGGAGAGATGATTAATAAACTCGTGGAGAAATCTAAAAGCTCACTTCAAATTGAAGTATGCGCTGAAGATGTCGCCTAGTAGGGCGATGAAAGCTTCGCAAATTAACTATCCAGCTCAGAGAACACAACCACATCAAAATCACCCACCTGAGTTACAAATCTCCTTTATCATATCTTACAACATACTTCTAATTCAATACTCAAACACATGAACAGACAAAAGGAGCACCTATGGGATCACCCATATCAGGATTAATAGGTGAAGCCGTTATGCAAAGATTAGAATTAATAGCCCTAACTACAATTAAAACAAAATCCCGGGCACGTTACGTTAATGATAAATTTGTAATAATTAAAAGAAATGATTTGGAATATATTCGTAAATTAATAAACAACATATTTGCAGACATCAAATTCAAAAAAGAAGAAGAATTAAACAACAAAACTGCATTCTTAGATGTCTTAATCAATAGAGCTAACACAGGGAATTTAGAAACAAAAGTATTCGGGAAACCATCTCACACAGACCAAATAACCCATTTGCTCACAAAGGAAACTGTGTTCAGACATTGTTTAAATGAGCCATAACACATTGTAGCACTCCAGTGTTGAAGGGAATGGAGGAAACACACCTACTAACTGTCTTCAGAAAGAATGGATACCCATAAAATTTCATCAAAAGTTTTTAAACTCAAGTTGTAATACCAACAAGAAAATTCATTCTACCCCAGATACAAGGAATATCTCTGAGATAACGGCTAGAATACTAAAACTATTTGAAATCGATATAGTACACAAGCCAGCAGAATTGGTTCCTTTACAATATTGTGTACACCAAAGGATTCAACAGCAAAAGAAGACAAGATCAATCATATCTACAAAATGAATAGCTATAAACTGTGATAAACATTAGACTGGTCAAAACGGATATCCCTTTCCACTCAGAATCCAAAAAAATTAGCTGTGAAGAGACACGATACGTATTCTTTCAAATCGATGCATGTAGACAGTTATGGCTACCACTGTGATTGGGTAAGTGTGGAAATAGTAAACAGAGGAAACACTAAAAACGCCAGGGGATTTCTAGAAGCCTGGTACTCAAATGAATCAGTGATTAGCAGACACATTACTGTAGATCAAATCCATGAATAATCCCCATCCAGACATTGATGAAAACCAAAAACACTAATCAAAACCAAAATGTATTTTGTTTTCATAAAGAATAAATCACATGACAATAAAGTTCAAATTACAAGTCAATAAAAATGATCAATAAAGATGTGAATTAACAACCAATCACGAAAAAGCTTGTCTGTCAGGAGATACAATTACATCGCTCACAGCGAATTCAAATAGGTTCACTTTATATTAGAACTTGAGCTGAAAGTGTTTTTTCTAGAATGACAATGGAGGCTTCACAATCAAATTAATCAGCTCAGAGTACACAACCAAATCAAAAAGAAATAGTATAATCAGACGTCATACAACAGATGTGGATGATGGTCGGATTCATCGATATTGCTAGGATGCCGCTGAAAATAGTAATCTAAATCTTGTGATTGGATGACCCTGACTGATTGTAAAATTTCATCATATTTTTCTTACCTTGACCCTGGTCCAACAATCAAGCAATCAGAATATTTATTTTGTGTAGACCTAGCCCACTC